TTGGTTGTTATTTCCCCCAATGTGTGAGAAAAGCATAACATGTTTTTTTCATCATGAGTTAACCCATTACAACCAATGCATACCGAGATAACTTTAATGAGATACAGCAAGTATTAATTATGTTGCCTAGTATTTAATTAATTTATTGTAACAGAAGATAAGCAACACACTCATTAATCTTAGATAAGTGATAAACGCATATGTGGTGCTTTACATAACGCAGGGGACGGATGTAGACTAGGCTATTTAATTTTAACAGGCTATATGCTGTTGGACAATATTTGAACCGGCTACACAGAGAATAAAGAGGCGCCGTATGTTTTACGCGTCATGTCTCATGCCCGGGACACCCGTCGGACTCGTCACTTTTGGCTCATATTCTGCATTTCTTCCCGAATCCAACTCAAATCTCTTTCATTTTGTGGCTTGTCAAGCCTCCAATTTAGTGTGGAAAGAAAAGCAGGTCATGGTGCGCCCGGAGGGATGAGCGCCAGCTGCTCAGTGACCAGTCACACCTACAGTTCTGCTACACATTCATTCATATCTTTAGAAAGTCCAGAACCATTTCGAAACATTATTATTATTATTGTTATTATTATTAGCCTATTATTTGTGGTTGTTGTTGGGATTTAGCATGACACTCAAAGAATTCATATATATATATATATATATTTATATATATATATATAACACACACACGAAAAAGAGTCTATAGCTAACTATAAAAATATGTCACTATAGGCTAACATATGTTGTTGTTGCTATTATGGTTATGTACTGCCTATAACCTTTGGCCTTTAACTGTATTTATTCACATATGAAACTACAATCCAATCATAACATGCCGTGTTTATTCCGTATATATTTAGACCACGACATATATCTTATATTAAGACGTTTTAATCAAATCACATCATAAATAATAATAATAATAATAATAACAATAATTGCACTAATTAAAAATATAATTATTAATAATAATTGGGTGAATTAAAATCATGCAGGATACAAAGTTTGTTTGTTTGTTCTTCCATTGTAGGCTACGTAATTAATTGGAAACATTTTAATATAGCGAACTGTAATTATGTCGTCATAATAATACGTAATGACGTGTCTTTAGGGGCGCTGATGATTAGGACCTGCTGTCAGCTGCTGAAATGAACCGAAGCAGTCGAGCGAGCAGAGCGACATGACTCGCAATTGTTCGAGGCTTGTCAACATATTAACCTGAATTCCCTGCAGTCATCCACTATACCGAATTAGCGCAGTAGACAAGGAAAGGGACATCAGGGAAAAAAAGGCTGCGGACTAATTGAAAAACAATTGGCGGGAAAGCACATTAATTAATAGGCTCTATACCGCATGTCAGATGATGCCCCGAAAGCTTGAAGCCTTTTCTAAAAACCGTCCATTAGAAATAATTTAGAGCGAATGGGCGAGCTAATTTCTCATTAACCTTTGTTATAAGACCTAGTTACACATAATTAGGGACGATACAGTTGCAGTTTCACTTTTGTTTAAGAATAAACGCTGTTTAAAATCATAATATACAAGAAATACAGATATAAACACAGAGACAGAGAAATGGATTTCCTGCTCCACAAAAGCTGACTGTGGTGAACCTCAAGACAAGCCATACAGATCTAATTGAATGTGACAAGGGCTAAAGCATATTTTTGGAGCACCAAAATGGTGCATCCCAAACAGGTTTCATCCTTGTCGAAATGTATTGATTTCTCTGGTTTTGTGGAGTGGTTGATGTCTCTCTTACTCAGCGGTCAGCAGGAGAGGGTTGGTTTAAGCAGGTTCAAATGGAGGGGTGATACTAACACCCCCCTAACGAGTCTTTAAAACTGGATATAACTTGGGCTGTCTCTAGTTGTTTTACAGTTACTCTACAGGCAAAGTACTCTAGATGTTTTCAAGCATCACAGTACATACAATAGTGAGATACATTGTCTACATTTGTGAGATACATTGTCTACTGATTTACATTAAGTGACAGAGAATACACCTACATGCATATTCAATACTATATATTTTTTTATTATTATTATTTTGTGGGACAGGGTGTTGGAGATGGGTAGCAAATGGAGGAGAAAGAGATGGAACGGAACAGAGAACACGAGCTTGTGGCGACCATGAAGGTGATGATTTTCTCTTCGCCACAATCAGTGCACCTGGGTTTCCTTTGGTGTATCTAGAGGTAAATAATTGATGTGAGGATAAAAGCGTTTGTGAGGGGGAGTGAGACATTCAGACAAGGGGGTGAAAACCCGGCCAGAGCCCACTGTACCGTGCCCCCCTCTCAGCCCAAGCCTGGCCCCTCGCCGTTTGGTGGTCCCTCACACCGCCCCCTCGGACGAGCGCTTGAAGTGCAAATCTGTGTTCTGACTTGTTCCTGGTTGCTGTCAGCATGTTTTCCTCTTGTCAGTGGCGATTGACTGGGGGCTCGTCTCACCCTTGTGTCGGGACTGTAGCGGGATCATTGACAGGCCAGTGACACTGCCCAACCAGATAATTGAAACCTATTGATTTTTTTTGTTCTCACACTCTCTCTTTCCTCTCTCTCTTTTCCTGTCTTTTTTCACAGAGGAAGTGAAGGCTCTTACACTTTAGGAATGACTGAAAGCAAAAGCAAGGGCATGGTCGACAGCGTCGAGGGCTCGGTCACTGGTCCCGATCTCCAGGTCGCTCCTGCCACTTCATAGGAGGGGAAAAAGTCAAGACAAGTAGCAGTCTTTGGAGACGAGAAAAACACTAAGAAAGAGGAAAAAGTGCCCATCAATCAATCAATCAACGGTATCTCCTAGTGTTTGTGTCAGGTGCACCTGAGACTACTTTCAGGAGATAAATGTAATGTGAGATAACCCCTCTCTATCCTTCCTGCGGTTCTTAGTCTGCCTTTGTCATAACCGCGCCAATGAAATATTAAGAACGTGCTTATCCGCCAGAGGGCGATTTTAATTACCACCTAAGGTTACACCATTAATATGAAACAACACAGTGTGCAATCTCTTCCTCATATGTTCTAGAGGTTCGATTTAACAAATAAAATATGGTGATTAATAGAAAGCCTCCTTCTGGTTTCCCAAAGCCAAGTCATTACGCCTCCTGATTCAGATAAGATGTGTTCTCTTGCACACCGAGAAGGGATGACACTTGTATACTGTTTTAATGGAGGAATCTCCAGAGAGAAGGCCTCTTTGATTCACTGCCTAATGATAAGCGTGCTCTGGTCTGTCAGCGGCACAGCCCCGTGGCAGATGGCTGGTGTGGATCTTACACATTTCTTTATGTTCCTGCCTCCCCCCTCGTCCACCTCATTCTTAAAGCTGCCAATGGTATAATGGAAAATCTCAATCCTGGTCATGGTTAGCTCAATCTCATTATAATCCCTCGTTTTTTATTCATTCGGCCCTTTGGGACACTGTCTGCCCACCATGCAGCTTCCAGCCTTGGTGGAGTGTCTTTTGATTCGGCCAGGAGAGCCTAATGAAGTCACAGAGAGATACAATTATTTCCCAAAGCAGGGGCATTAATGTACTCCAAATTCCCTCTGGAGGAACGTGATGACAATTGGTTTGTACAGCTTTGATCGCCAGTCTAAGCCCTGCCCGGGACAAACTGTGAGGTCGCCCCCCGGTCCAGACGCTTACTGATGAACCTGAAAACAGACCCCGGTCAAGCCGCTTTCTCTGATATTATCAGAGCTGTTCCTCTACACAAAGACGACGATGATGTCATGGAGATCTTTGATACTTGCATAACGACATTGTTGGACAGAGCCTTTGTCAACAAAGTGGCAGTTTAAATTAAGTAAGTATTACAGCAGAAAAAGATACAAAGGTTTAAATCACAATTACATTTTAATTGGCTATTAGTGACTTAACAGAGACATAAATACAATGTGTTAACGCTTCCTCTGCTCATTAACACATTGTATACCTTAATTGAGGTATGTGCTTGCACATTATCATCCCCAAGTAATGGTATATAGTTACATGGTAACTATTTGAAGGGCTGACCAGGGCATGGGCATACCTCCATTTGGTCTTTACCTACAGATTTATTTACAATCAAATGCTAAGAAATCATTTACCTCTGAAACAATGAGTGGTAAAGATTCCCTTAAGTATCCTAAAGTAAAACATGGTAATTAGTTGTGTTATTATACTTTTGTGTTATATACCTTACATTTTAGCACCATAAGATGATGAGCAAAAACAGTATTTGCAGGGGTTTCAGCAACATACAACAATAATATAGAACAATGACCTTTTTTGACATTATATAGATACTAAACTAATCAATATTGCATCATGACAGTATTGCCCATGATTTTACTAAACAACTAGAAACTTTTTGAAAAATATTCATTGATATAGTCATAAAGTTCACAGTTCATTTCTTCGATAATGGCATTAAAAATATTGTAATAGATTGTGTGTTACATGTTTGGGCTCTAATGCCCGTATACGCAATATGATATTTTTTCCTCAACATGTTAAATGATGCATAACAGTAGATATAAGAATTCTTAACCATAAATGAAGCACTACTTTTGTATATATATATTATCATGTTGATATACTCTCTTAAAAATAGGTTATACATTTTTTGTCAGTGTAAATAAACATTGCGTCGCAAAATTACAGTAAATAGCAATAAGTTCTTGTAGCTGTCTTTGAAGCTGATCAGTCGACATAGTGCCATGTGCTAAACAGTGACCTCTGAATTCTATGATTTGGACAGTTTCTAAAATCTAGCTGCAGAATTTTAGACTTGCAAGTCACAGCAGTTGAGAACTGCAGTCAGTGGAGAGAGACTGCATAATGTGCACATCCAAGATCTAAATATAGCTCTACATCTATGTTGCAAATAGCATGCCCTTACGAATAACCGAAGATTGATATAATAAAATTGGGAAATAAACCAAAGAAAAGAAGAATAATATGCAATATAAGAAAATCTTTCATTTATATTATATATTTCTATTCTGTATTCATATATAGATGTATATACAGTATTATATGTGTATTTGTTTACGAACATGTGCAGAACAGGTGTACAGTGAGCGTAGCTGGTGTGTAAACGTGGCTTAGGAGACCCCCTCAGGCAGACTGAGAGGAGGGTGTGTATCCAGAAGCAGGCGCTCGGGGGGAGATGGGGAACACAGCTCTTTACACAGTGCCGAAACCTCCACCATACCTGCACCCACGCCGGGGATACTCGTGTGCATAAGATGCCTCTGCAAGTGCTTGATCCAGTCTTCCTGAATTGACTGAGGACCCTGGAAGATCAGATCGCAGAACCTGGGGGAAAGAAAGACAGATATGAGAACTCCTGGTAGTGGTAGGAGAGAGTGCAAGAGTGCTGTAAAGTACCTGCAGGTCATTCTGTAGATCACTTCAGAGGCGGCGTGTGAAGATGAAAACGCCTTTCTTTTAGGCCCAGGCCTTGATCTCGGCCTCTTCTGTTTACAATCACATGCTGTGAAACAAACGACGTAATTGAAATCAACAAAAAGCTGAGTGGCTGGATGATTAGATTATATTAGATTGGAAGAGCAAGTATGAAATCCTACTTGTTCCTTCTAATAAGGCAATTTTCTTCCGTCGCGCATATGCTCGGAGATGATTGGACAGGCTGACAGCGCTGTGGAACGTCGTGTTGCAGTGGATGCAGATCTTCTTATTTTCTGGATCACACAAATAAAAAGTTTGGAGCTAATGAGCATTTAAATAACAGTTCGATGACCTGTGCTTTTTTTCCTGTAGCTGCTCTCCACTTATGACAGCTCTTTAAAACGCAAAAGCATGTTATATGGCTACACGAGTGTGTAATTTACAAAAGGAACACAGCAGCTTGAAGAAAATAAAACTGTGATTCCCTGAGTGTCATCACCTCCCACTCCATCTGTTTTCATATCATAAAGATCGGCTGTGCACTCTGTTTTTGAGGACATGTATGTTCTCAGTATTTGCACTCAGTTTGATGGTTTGTTTGTTTGTTTTTAGGGGCAATGTTTGAAACTATTAATCTGCTCTCATTGTATTTTTAGATGAAATGTGTTCATTTAATGCTAATCTACAGCTGTTATATGAAGCTTGACTATATAGGTAATAATATATGTGACCCTGGACCACAAAACCAGTCTTAAGTCGCTGGGGTATATTTGTAACAATAGTCAAAAATACACTGTATGGGTCAAAATTATCGATTTTCTTTTATGCCAAAAATCATTAGGATATTAAGTAAAGTTCATGTTCCATGCAGATATTTTGTAAATTTCCTACCGTAAATATATTAAAACTTCATTTTTGATTAGTAATATGCATTGCTAAGAACTTCATTTGGACAACTTTAAAGGCGATTTTCTCAATATTTAGATTTTTTTGCACCCTCAGATTCCAGATTTTCAAATAGTTGTATCTCGGCCAAATATTGTCCTAACAAAC